TTTCCAGTGTTAATTTGCATTGCCATTATTTGGATCTATGCTATTATATTGACTGCAAGTGGAGCTTACCAGCATAAACCTGCTAGAATACAGCATTTTTATCATACAGACAAAGCAAACCTGATATCTACAGCCTCATGGTACGTCTTTTTGTTCGATTCTTCTTAAATTTTGAACCACTTAGTTGCTGAGGTCTAAGGTTTCTTTCAATGCTAATAATAGGTTCCCGTACCCACTCCAGTGGGGCCCACCGACCTTTTCTGCTGGTCATGCATTTGCTACAATGTCTGCAGTTATTGTCTCAATGGTTGAGGTAACCATTTATTATCCTAATCATGTCATCTACCATTAGCACTCTTATTTTCACTATTCTGGCAAAGAGAATAATGTTCTTTTTCTGATGCAACATAGCATGCCTAAGTTATGTTTAACCAAATGCAAACACACGTGAGAAAACTTCAAGTGATAAAAGCTGTTGGACCAAAAACCCTAGGCTTTTAAATATATGTGGTACATATATTTTATGTCTTGTTCAAGTGGTTTGGAAATAACTTTCCATGGTCTTGAGAAATTAGTATAACCACACACCAGCTGCTCCTATTGTGTTCAGTTATTTCTGTTGACTATTTCTGTAGCTACAATATTTACACTCTGAAAATTGTTCAAGGGGCTGAAGATATTTTTCTCAACTCATTTATTTGGTAGTAATTAGACAAAGGGATTTTTCTTCCCTGTTCTGCAATGGCTATTATATCTTTATGATCATTATCCAATGTTCACTTTTATTATTTTTTCAAAGTAAGAGAATGATGTTTAATTTTTACCCTCAAAATCATTTTTTTATTATTTTCCGATCCATTCATTTTTCAACGTGCATACGAAATGATAAAAGGAAGAATTTAGAATAATCATAATGTTGGCCTCTTTACTATTTTGGGGAATTCTGCAATAGTGTTCTGATAAAGAATTTCTCATTACAGTCAACTGCTGGATATAAGGCAACATCCCGGTTGGCAATTGCAACTCCACGTGCTACTTATGTTCTGAGTCGAGGTGTTGGCTATTTACCATAAATCAGTTATTGATAAAGTGCAGCCTGTGGTCATACTGATTGTTAAATTTTGATTATATTGATTTATTGGTCCTGTTACTTGAATTGCAAGAAATCCATAATAACATTATTATAGATCTGATACTTGATGTGTCTGAAAGCTGATCCTATTAATTTTGCACAGGGCATTGGTGTCTTGCTCGGTGGTCTTTATGGAACAGGGACAGGTTCTACCGTTTCAGTGTAAGTGACACCCTTTCGTGAGATTTTACTGCAAAGTTACTTGCATGTGGTCTCTCTAATCTTTGAATATTAGTTTGATGACCATCTTTATTATGCATTCAGAGAAAATGTGGGCCTTCTCGGACTAACTCGAGTTGGAAGTCGAAGGGTTGTTCAGATTTCTGCTGGTTTCATGATATTCTTCTCTATGTTAGGTTGGTATAGTTCTTTCAAAACATTAGTCTGCACCATTGATACAACAGAAATGAGGCTCTGATGTTTTATTTCTTTCTCATGTTGTGTATTTTAATTGGGGAAAATGAAAATACATCTCTTCATCTCTTTGTAATTTATGAACATCATCAACTTTGAAATGATATATTTCCAACTCTGACATTTAAAACCTTTTGTTTATTACTTGGCTACAGAATTTGACATTTCATACCCTTTATCCTCCCACATGAACCGCCCCTATCAGTTTAAACGTAAACAAGAGGGCAAGAGTGGTTGGTCTCCCTACCTTAAAAAATGTATTAAAAAAGAGACATTATTGAGTATAACAAAGATATAAAAAAACATCCTTTCCATCGTTATCTTTCCTCCTCAATTCCAAACGGGGCCTAAATCCCAAAGTTTCTAGTAGAACTGTTTGCAAATGACTTAAAGGGTTGCATCCACATTTTCCCATCTTTTCTGATGTTCTAAGCTTAGTAAGTTAGTTGTTTTCTGTTATGATGATAGAGTAGAAATTAGAGTAGGAAGATAGTTTCATTTATGCTAGCTAAAGTATCGTTCTGTTTGTTTCTGCAGGGAAGTTTGGAGCCGTCTTTGCATCTATTCCGTTCCCAATATTCACTGTGCTGTATTGCATTCTCTTCGGTCTCGTAGGTACACAAGCAATTAGTTCAATTAAATTTTTATTTCTATAGTTAACTTTAGCTTCTCCATTCACAGTTACTTGTTTTTGTTCCTTCAGCTTCAGTTGGAATATCATTTCTTCAGTTCACAAACATGAACTCCATGAGAAACCTAATCATCACTGGGCTATCATTGTTCCTTGGAATTTCTATTCCTCAATTTTTCAATGATTACTGGAGTCCTCCACATCATGGCCTTGTTCATACCAATGCTGGATGGGTGAGTTTTCGTTTAGTGGCATAATTAGCTATTACGCAAAATTTGATTGAGAAGAGTAGTGATCAAAGTGTAAAATAGATATTACACTAGTTTTATGTGCAAGCAAAATGAAATCTCTTCCCAGAAATGTTGAACCAAACAGTTAAAGCTAAATAAATTACAGTTTACTTCTTTATGGTTTGACTCAAAATTAAAATGATTTAGAATATTTTTTATTAATTTAGAACTAGTTTTAGGCCTTTTGATGGGATTAAGTGGAAATTTGTCTTAAAAGGCTGAGATTATTGATTAAGACATAAGCAAACCATCCCTACATTGTTGCTGAAATTTTCGAACATCAAGAACTCATTTTTATGTGTGACAATGTGTCATCTTTGTAGCTCAATGCACTCATAAACACCATATTCTCATCACCGGCCATAGTGGCTTTGATCGTGGCGGTGTTCCTTGACAACACGCTCGAGGTTGAAAAGTCAAAGAAAGATAGAGGGATGACATGGTGGGCAAAGTTCAAAAAATTTAAAGGAGATAGCAGAAATGAAGAGTTCTATACTTTGCCATTCAATCTCAACAGGTTCTTCCCACCTACTTGATATTCATGAGAATGAGAAGCACAGATACATAAATCTTTAAGTCATGGCAAATATGATGAGTAATATTTTTTCTTCACAATTATCCCTCGATTTTTTTTAACTTGGTCCCACTTAGGATTACAAAGCATTTGGATTCATGCTCTGTAGATTCAATAAAGAGAACATTTGTGTTTCTAGTTTTAGTACCTTTTTAAAAACTCTCAAGACTATTTCTACTTTGTAGTTACATTCTTTTATGGAACTTTCTTCAAATGTATCAATCCATGAATGTAAAGAATCCTAGTTTCTTATATATGTTTGCTAAAGTATACTTTATTAGATGAATAAAAAGGGGGGAAAACAGCAAGACTTTGGTTTATAATAAGTGGACTATGAATGATATTTTTATTTTTAAATTAAACACAAGGAAGTTTTGTCATATTCTTTTTATAATTATCACTTATCACTGTTCCCTGTGAAGGCCGGATGTAATCTAATTCTTGTGTTTTTATAACATAATCTAATTCTATCTGATCATGGAATCTAATAATGCTCAAATTAACAATATTAGATATCATATTTATAAATGAAACAAAAGAAAATTATAACATACGTTGTTGTTGAAATGTGCAAATATATACAATAATTTAGTTGTAATGTAACTAGTTTATGTCTTGCCTAACAATATTTTTTAAAATTAAGTTGCATGAATGAAAATTATGACAATTAGAGTTATCAAATAAATGGCGGAGCTCACAACTCGAGCTGGTGTGTTTGAAATTTCTTAAAACAAAAGATAACAAAGTATACTTTAGCAAGACATAAATTAGTTACATTACAACCAGATAACTTATTTATTTTTCAATTTTTGTCTTTGATGAAAAATATTTTAAATTTATCTAATTTTATTAATGTTGAATTTTTATTCATAAAATTTACATAAATGTTCCCTTTAATGATATTTTTCTCTTAAAAATTGTTTTAATTTTATACAAAATGTCGGCAATTGTTGAAAAATTTACAATTATTTACAGTCATCAAATTGATGTACTGGATTATAAAGTTTAGAACCTTCGAAACAGATTCGTTTACAATTTAAAAGTATGTTATCCTTTTTTTTCTTTTTTAATTTGAGAAAGCTCTTTTGGAATGATTTTTTCTACATCAAAATGAATATAGAACTGTGATTATATTTTTTTAAATAATAATAACTATATTACGAAATTGAAATAAAGAATAAGATAAGAAATCATTGATTGATACAATATTTGAAACAAAATAAGTAGTGGACACAAGAGCCACGCAATTATTGTATTTTGTGTACAATGTTGAATATAATCACATAACTTCAGAGTAAAGTTATATCTACATTTTCATCTATTTTCAACACAATAATACAAATCCAACACATTTTCACAGACATAAAGCTCAGTAAAACACATGCAGATAAAGAAACCATTAGAAGATCCAAAGCTCAAATCAGTCCTTCATTATCTAACTTTCTAATTTGATCTCCACGGCTGACCAAAGACAAAAACAATTAATTAGCAGCCTAATCAAAATGGAACATAGACAAAATAAAAACCAATAAACTTATTTATTATACACAATTTTTGAAATTTTCCTTGGATAATGTGTACTAAACTACAGCTAATTATGCTTATAATGATGAGAAATAATGTGTTACTACGAATGCGAAAATGGTGGAAATTAATTATTGTTTAGTTCTAAATAATTATTCAACTTCTAATATTACCATAACATGTCAATTATTTAATACGAGTACATTATTATGATTTTGACATAACGACCATTATATAGACACGGAAAATTTTTTGGAAGTGATTGCAATTTCTTATTATAAAAAAGAAATAGAGCGATGTGTGTGTGGGTGTTAAGATAGAATTTATTTTCTTCTAATAAAAGACCTTTTTTTTCTCCATATAACGATAGAAATTGTAATGCACAAAATTATTTCATTGATTAAATATGATAGTAGTTTGAAAGAAAGAGTGCAGCTACCAACCTGATGACGAGGGCTTGTCTTCTAATGGGATTTTTGAGATTTTTGATATGTTTGGACAATCTTCTATTGTTATAGTACCAGAAAGGTGGTTGAATTCATAACCTTCATAAATCTCTCTCAACTCTGGCAACTCCCTAAGTTCCAAAACATTCAGTTTCGGAAACAAGATTTGATGATGATGAGCAGCTACTTCACTTTCATAAGCTTCAACAACCCTCTCTAGTTGACAGCAATTCCCTATATATAATTCCTCCAATGAAGGACAATGAGATGCCAGAGAATATGAGAACACCCTTCTCACTTTGTGGCAATCATATATACGAATGCTCTCAAGTTTGGGGAAGCAAACAGTGGAAGTAGTAGACAGATTCTTAAGTGACTCTTCACAAAATATTCCCTCCCATTCATTGCATCCTCTTACTTCCATGTAACACAACTCTGGAAGGCTTGTAACAATAGCAACAGTAAATGTACTTCTTAATCTTGGGCATCCCCATAGTTTAATCATTTCAAGTCTATGGAAGCTCAAAATTTGTATGGGATCTTTCCAAATATATTCTAACTCCGGTAGATCAAGTAACGATAGCGAATACAATTCTGACTTCACCACCCTCACTGTGTCATTGTCATGCTTCTGTGAAGTAAATATATTCAATGATTAGATGAAAATTCAACATATGGACTATGTATACACACACATGAACCACATAAATTTAATGGCACTGTAACATTAAAAAGTCAACCCCATTCATTTCACATATTTATAAAACTGTAATAAGGTAAGCCTAGTAAGATGAATTTTATCAAGTTAGACTTTTCTTATACATATTATTGATAGTCCAATGTGAAAATATATATATATATATATATATAGACACACACACACGTACACAATGTATGATGTATAAATATGCATCGACGTTGATTTATTTCAAATCAAACAGTCTTGGACAAGTCATACTTTCCATGATAAAGAACTGCTCACAAAAACAAAAAATGATTCCGCAACCAAGCATTAATGGGAACATTGCTAATACTTCAAGTAATTTCCAGCTTGATTTCATGACGAGAAGACTGCTTCATAGACGCAAAATATTAAATAAAATTTGAAATGATTATTGCTTTTCATTAGAATATAGTCTTGCTATTCGTATATATCGTTTCATAGTAAACACAAATTTTTAAATAAATTTAAAAAGTAAACAAGAGGAAAGGAAAATAGGTCCTGTAAAAAGAATTTTCTCACGTCCAAAGAAAATGAGAAAATATTTCCACTGATTCATTCTTAACAAAAGCAACCATGAACAAGTACTTTCTGTAATAACAAAGAAGTTATTTCTCCGACGAAGCCATAAAACGAAAAATATAAAGTGTCATGTTTGATAAATAATTTAAAAGACATTTATCAATTTTATCCATAAAAAATCACAAATAAAAAAAGAAATAGTGAGAGAAAACACTCACGTGAGGGAAGATCTCTCTCAATTTCGGCAATGACTGCAAAAATAATTCCTTCAGTTTGAGAAGTGGGAGTCGATCCCCATATGATGCTGCTTCTTCAACAAGCCTCTCAGGTTCAGAACAATTTCGGATCAAAGGTTGCTGAGAGATTAAAGCATGCTAGTTAGTTTCGTACAAAAGCTGAAAGGAAAACATACAAATTTTAATAGCAATAAAAGATGCACACTGACAAAGACCTTTTTAGCGTCCACAAAAAATTTAACAAATATTGTGTATATATACATAATTTGTAGATATTATATCAGCTCCAACTTATTCTGAATGAAATACAATTCCATATAATTATTTTCTTGATGAAATAAAAATAAAAATCAGAAAGTGTTGTTTGGAAAAACAAAATTAATTATTTGACAAAAAAATTAAAATGAACTAAAGAGATTAAAATTTTTATCAAATTCATATGCGGAAAGATAAATTAAAAAAATGCAGCTTGCAAATAATATTTTGTAGTACTGAAAAAAGAAAAAGAAAAATTTGAACAGTTTAATCTTTAGTATTATAATGTAAATGCTAAATAGAAATTCTATGAAAAAGAGGCAGGTGAGCGAAAGAAAAATTTTATCAAAATGTTTGAAATCTCTGGTGAGAACTTCTATAGACACTAATTTATATTATACTGGCCATTATAAGTATTTTTCGAATTGATCATTTAATGGCAAAATAAAAATAATGTACTTTTAAAATTGTGTTAACATAATCTCAATATGCGTTTTACCAGACTCAATGAATTTTTATAGTAACATGGAAAATGTGTGACTGGCAAATGTTGTATATACTTTTTACTACATGATTATGTTAATTCTCTATTATAACAACTATATCACATTTAATAAATAATATATATTTTTAACAAGAAGTGCACATATTAAATATTTCTTGACCGACAAGAATTATTTGAACAAAAATACTAATGTTAACTTAATTTTTAGCAGAAAAAGAAAGAGCCACAAAAATGTATTGTTTCACATCAAAAAGAAAAGAAAATCATGGCAAAAAAATTTGAAAGGGAAAAATATTTCTCTTAAAGTATGTGTAGTTTTTATATAATGCATCAACACTAATTTATTTTTGAATAAAAATAACTTTGAAGAAGCACTTCCCACAATAAATACCTAATAGCAAAACCAATATGAAAAAGTCATTTACTTGACCAAAATGCAGAAAATGAAATGTAAAATGTTACTGCATCTGACAAATAAAAGTTGTTATTAAAAAAAAAGGAAAAAGGAAATAATATTTTATTATTATGAAAATAAGGAAAACTCAGAAAATAGTTTCATCGTGCAGCCTGAATATATAGCCAAGAAAATTTAATAATAAAAAGAGGTTTATACAGGTATAATAAAGTGAAGTCAAAAATAAAATAATTACTGTAGAAGTTATGTTTAATGATTATACAAATATATAAATTATACGATAGCAAACAAAAAAATTTCAAATAAAAGGGAGATGTAAATTGAATGGCTACTTTAGCAAATGCGTCAACATATATATATGGATTATTATTATTTCTAATATGCAATGATTCAAGAGAGACATTGCGGATTTGCTGGTCCAAAAAAAAAAAAGGAGAGACATTGCGGATGAGACTTGCCTGTGGATGATCTTGCATATCATGAAGTAGTGGATCCCCATGTGCAGCTTCTTCACCAATAAGCCCCTCTAATTCAGAGCAACGGAGTATACTTATATCCTCTAGTGAAGGACAATGAGATGCCAGAGAATAAGATAACAACCATCTAACTCTGTTGCAATCATATATGACAATCCTCTTGAGTTTAGGGAAGCAAATATTAGAAGAAGAGAGGTTTTTGAGTGATTCTTCACAAAATATTCCCTCCCATTCCTCGCACTCATCTACTTCAAGTCTTCTCAACTCTGGAAGGCTTGCAACAATAGCAAGAGTGAAGATACTTTTTAATTTTGGGCAGTCTCCCAATGAAACATCTTCAAGTTTATGGAGGCTCACGATTTGGGTGGGGCCCTTCCAAATATATTCTAATTTTGGTAGATCATCTAATTTTAATTCACTCAACTCTGACTCCACCTTTAGCGGTTCTTGTGCTTTAATAGATTCTTCATCATCTTCTACTCTTTCTCTGACTTGGATTTCCAATATACCTTTCTTTTTTCCACTCCTTCTAATTTGTAGACTTTTCAACCTGAGAAAAAGGATCAAGGATTGTTGATTTTGCAACTGATTGAATCTTTTTGCTGTAACGCCCACATAAGCACTGTCAGTTTCCTTTCCCTGTAAATGTATTAAAATTAAAATTATGAAATGGACTGATTATAACAACTTGCTTTTTTTTTTTTAAATAACAAAAGCAACCTTACATCAAGCCCCCACGATCGCGCATGGCTGTACAAAAATAACTTGCTTTTTACTCTAACTAGATTGGAGAGTAAACCCAGTAAGTTTCTTATATTACATATTAATTATTGCCAACTATTGCTAGTAAATAATCCTTTTTAACAACTGGGCAAATATATATAGTAACAATCAGGACTTTTTTTATTACCAAAACTTGAAATGAAAATATAAAAATTTTAATAGCAGTAAAAGAGGCACGGTAAGAGAGATCTTTTTAAATATCAAAAGAAAATTTAAGAAAAACATTTATCTTAAAATGTGGTATCCTGAATCATTATTTTATAGACAAAATATAAAACAAAAAATTTAAAGTGCCGCTCGCAAGAATGAGATCAATTTTTTGATAATAAATCAAAATGAACAAAAGATATTAAATTTTTTATCAAATTCGTATGTGGAAAGAAATAACAAAGACAATTTGTAATTAATTTTTGTAATACTCGAAAAAGAAAAAAGAAAAATTAACAAAGACAATTTGTAAATAATTCTTGTGATACTCGAAAAAGAAAAAGAAAAATATAAGTTGTAGTGTATTATGGTTACAAAACATAATTAGTATTTAAATCTAAAAAAATTAATCTTTTGGTCCCTACACTTTTAATTTAATATAAAATTTGGCACCGGACTTTTATTTATTATTGCTACTCAGTCCTTAATCTTCCCTTTAATCTTTAGTATCTAACATAAATGTTAAACAACAATATTTATGTAAAGTTCTTTATATCCATTATGCAAAATTCTCCAACAATGTATGATCATGTATGTATCCTATATCATTTCATTTCATGCAAACTAAATTTCATACCGAGAACCAGCAGCAGTACAAAGACATAGAATTTCATGATACAAACATTTTTATATAGTTAAAAATCTTTAAATAAAGAAAGAAACGACACTAATTTATAATATATCAGCTTCTTTAATTACTTTCCACAATTAATATATAGATGGTGATAGAAATTGTGACTTACAAACCTATTTTATGATAACAAACAACACTTGACTTTCATTTTGAAATTGATTTCACGTATTTTTTAAATGGTGATAACTAACATAATCTGAACATGTATCTAACAAACGAATATTCTATATATTTTTTGCTACATGATTACATTCAACCTCTGTTATAACATTTAATTAATGATATATATATATATAAAAAGTAGACATATTATATATTTCTTGACCAACACAAATATTTATTTGACCAAAAATTGAAATATAGACATACAATTGTTTAAGACCAAGAGAGGCACCGTCAAAAAGTGTTTTTTCACATCCACAAAAAAGCATGGCAGAAAAATCCAAACAAAGAAAGAAAGAACATTGTATATATGGAAAATGCATCAATGCCAATTTATTATAAATAGAACAACTTTGAATAAGTACTTCCCACGATAAATACTTGATGCCAGAAGACAATTTATAAGAATTAATATGAAAAATACAAAGCTTGAAGAAGCAATAGTATTTTATTATCTTGAAAATAAAAAAAAACCCAAAAAGTAGTGTTATCGTGTAGCCTAAATAAGGAGCTCATAAAACTTCATAATGAAAAAAGGCTTATATAGTTACAATGAACTCAGGTAAAAAATAAAATGACTATTATCTCTTTCTAAGAATATTTTTAAAACATAAATATATCTTTAAATTAAAAAGAAAGCAGAGGTAGAATAAACAAAAAGAAAAATAACATGACTATTGTTGGTTATTGAGAATATATATTTTTTATGTAACATATATTGTTCGATCATAAGCACAGATTTTTCAAATTAAACGAAAAAGGTAATATCTTCAATTTGTTCTCGAAAAAAAAAAAAGGTAGAGTGAGCAAAAAGAAAAAAAATCACCTACAAGTGAAATTATTAGCAGTTGCATGATCCTAGTTTTGTTTTCAGCACAGGAGTTAAAATAAACAGGCATTGATTTCACATAAATTGAGAAAAGGATATCAAATTTATGTGCATCAAAAGAGAAGAGCAAAAAAATTCAGTTTAAAAATTAAATGAAAAGATAAATATTTTTTCATCGAATGTGTCAACACGGACTATTATTTCTAATATGCAGTGATTTAAAAGGAATTTTGTGAATAATACTTACATATGGATAATATTGCTTATCATGAAGCAGTGGATCCCCATGTGTAGCTTCTTCATCAATAAGCTTCTCAAATTCAGAGCAATTGCTTATAATTATTTCCTTCAGTAAAGGACAATAAGAAGCCTGGGAATAAGACAATAGCCATTTCACTTTGCCACAGCTGTCAATATGAAGTCTTCTCAACTTTGGCAGGCTCGTAACAGTGCCATGAGAGAAGATACAGATTCTCAATTCAGGACAACTCCGTATCCATAGCTCTTGTAACATGGGGAGAGAGCAGCCAATAGATGAATCTTGAAACACTTGTTCAAGACTATTCATTTCAAACAATCTTAAAGTGATCAAGCGGGAGAACACTTGTTGTGTTTGAAGGATGTTCATATCAGGCTTCTCAATGATGAATCTTTTCTCTTGACAGCATGATACCCCTAAGTGGTTTATTTGAAAATTTATATCTTTGTAATCCCACTCACAATTTTCCAGCCAAAGGTGATTTGCTCTAAGAATGAGATTTTTTATTGATGAATTCGAAGCAGAGACTCTGAAGCATTGTATGCATAAAGCTCTTAATGCTTCATCACAACTATCAAAATATTTTTGAAATGAGTCGTCCAAATAGTGACTAGTTAATCTGGAATCATAGATAACATACCTCTTCAAATTTGAAAGAGAGAGAATTTCTGGGATGACAGATTTGTGGTCCCAAAAGTATAATTCTTCAAGCTGCTCACATCTTCCAATTACTTCTAAAGGACTTTTCTCAATTTGACAACCAAATATATCCAAAAGTTTCAGCATTTTCATATCTACAATTCCAGCAGGTAATTCATCAAATTGAGAACCACGTAAGTCAAGAATCTCCAATCCTTTAAGTTCACCCAAAAGAGATATGTCCCCCAAATTTTTCCCTCTAAGGCATAAGGTGTGAAGATTAGTTAGTGATACAATTGATTGTGGAATTGAAACCAAAGTTGGATACCACCTCCGCAATTCCCACTCAAATCCATGTCTTATGAGTGCCAAGACTTTGAGTGACTCCATTGCTCCAATATCTCGAATGAACCCATCAGGTTGAAGTAGCAGAATCTCAAGTTTTGGAAAATGCAATTGTTTAGAGAGCTCGAAATCCTCATCCAAATTCCACAATGACACTGTCTTTGTATCTTCCAAACTTTGGTGGTTACCAATTAACATCTTTGAAATTTCTTGGTTGTCCACTAGAACTTCTTGACATTGCTCCTTTGCAATCCACAAGGCTACATCTCGAACCACATCATGTAATTTTACATGTGCCTGCTTGCTGGTATGCATTAACAAACAAGAATCTAACAATTTCTCAATGTTGGCTAAAACCCAATTCCTTGTTTTCTCCATTGTGTAAATTCTTTCACCAAGCTTAAGAGATCCCTTTGCCAAAACGAATTAAATCCTCTATATGGATTTCATGATCCTCAGGAAACATAGAGCACAATATGAAGAGCGACTTAGCTAACGGACTCGGCAAATTATCATAACTTACTTTGAGAGTTACATAAGGGGTCTTCAAATCATCTTCAATATCCAGTGGTGGGGGATGTCGTAGCCTTTCTAGTGTTGATCTCCACGTATGAATACTCTTTTCTTTTAATGTGCTTCCAACTGTTACAATTGCTATAGGCAAACCCTTACACTCATCAACAATCTTCCTTCCGATGCTATCGGACTCATTCGTTGACACACTGGTTGTGTTAACATGCATCTTGAACAAAGCCCATGCCTCTTCCTCTGTTAAGAGAGACAACTCAATTTTACTCTCACAATCCATAGAGACACATACATCTCGAAGGCGAGTGGTCAACAAGATATGACAACCTCCAGTGGTTGGAATTCCAATATCTTCAAGCCTTAGTTTGCTCCACACATCATCCAGGATTATAAGAATCTTCTTATTTTTCAATCCTTCTGATAGCCTTTGTGCTTTAGTAAGTTGAGTTGGCTCTTGAAGTTGCAAGCCTATTTGCCCTGCTATTTCCTGCTGAATGTTCAGAATATTTGGGGGTTTAGAAACAACTACCATGATGACCTTGTCAAAAAGCTTCAATTCATCCACTTTCTTGCCCACTTCTTTTGCCAAAGTGGTTTTGCCTGAGCCCGCTATACCATATAGTCCCACCATTTTGTTTTTGCCATTTATAATTGCCTCTAAAAGACGATTATAAGTTGATTTCCTTGAGTTGAAAGCCATAAACTCTTTGGAAGAGAAGTAAGTAATGCCAGGAAGTTGGATCAGTTGGGAAAATGGCTCAAAGCTGGAATTTTGTTTGAGATCTGTCATTTGCTTAGCCTTATTTTCCATCCGTTTTGCTAAAGAATATCTGAGTGACACATTAAAACACTTGTTCGGTCCCCCTTCAAGCTCTTGTTGCAGCTTTTGCACCTCTTCTAGGATTGCATTCACATCATCCAACCACTTCTTCACGGATGGCATTATTTCTTCAGTTTCTCGATCAGCTTCTTCCTTGCGCTTTTTCACGTCTTCTAATTTCACCTCCAGCTCTTGTTTTGCTTTCTCAACACCTCCAATGAACTGCTTGAAACAGAACAAATAAGTAGCTCCTTGTGAAATTGGAGCCACTAAATATTCTGCAAGCTTTGACCCGATTGATATCACAATATCTGCCATCTGATGCAATAAAACGCAATCACATATACTTACTTAATGTTGCTTTAGTACTAATAATCTCTCATATTATAAATACAAAATCAAGTAAAAAGAGTTCATTCTGCTGTTACATATTTTCGCTGCCAACTAATATAAAATCTAAATAATGACATGAAAATTAACAATGCAGAAAGACGATAACTGAAACTAATTAATTACAAGAGAGTACAAGAAAAAACAGGAATTCTCAAGTTATACCATACCAGAAGATATTATAGACAGCATTGTAAATTAATGATTAATAAATACTCTCTAAAAATGGAGAATTTTTTCTTAAACAAAAATTGAAAGTATTTCTTGTGATTTCCCAAATATGGAGCATCAGAAAGTATAACTTAGGCTCCAGAGTATTGTAACTTCACATAGTTATAGAAATTATTTAAGCAAAAGAAAATAATCATAAGACGTAGCAAACAACTAAAATGAAAAAAAATAAAAAAAAAAATATAAAGCATTTATTCAGTTAATTACCTCAAACTGTACAGTCAAATTAGTTTGGAAAGGAAAATGTTTCGCCGAAGCGAGCCTGGAATCAATAAAGAAACAAACAATGATTCACGTAATTAAGCCTATAACATTATGGATCTTAAAATTTAGAATTCAATTTCTACAAATATTCATTCTCCTAAATTTATTATTGTAAAGTTTAGAAGAACGAATCAAACAAATTTGTAATTTTTTTTATAGTGCTCTTTCACCAAACTTCAAATAAAAAGTTGGAAAAATTACCCACAGGTTCCAAAGAAAAAAAATTAAACATAGATATATTCAAAATATTTTGTATTTACAACTTTTAATATGAATCGATGATTCGTGGAAGGATGATGATTTGGTTTTCTTCTGAAAATACACTGAAAAAATCTATCAGCTAATAATTAAATATTTCTACCGCTGTTTTTTTTTTGGTTCAATTGATTAAATATCTAATTAAAGACCCATAATACATATTAAATTAATAACGAAACCCAAAGTCCCAAACCCAATAGAAAAGGTGGAGACATCACAATAAAACTAAGAGTTTTTAGATTATTCTTTACTTTAGGTAAAAAAAAAAAAAAAAAAAGGGACTTGGCCAACCAGTTCGATAAGAAAACTGGCAAACTGGTCAGGTTTTCTTGTTGGACCCGGTGACAAACTGGTTTAACCAAGTAACCACCAACTGGGATGGGTCATCCGGTTTAAACTTTTTTGCGTCCTAAAAATGCATAAACTGTGGGAAGGAGAAGATTTACCGAGAAAAGAAGGAAAAGGAAGAGGAAAAATAGAGAGAGAAAATAAACCTTACTATGAGAGAGTTCCTGAACATGCCAAAAAATGAAGTGAAGATGCATTTTAGCGTGGAAACTAAAACGCATGGAAGAAAGATAAAAGGATGATCCAACATTCAAGGCTTCATCAGGGGGACTTATTTGTTGTTGAAGCTGTAAGAGAGAAACTGTGAGAGAGAGAGAGAGAGAGGAGAAACTAGAAGATTAGAAGGTAAGAACGAAGATGATAGAGATAATGGGATGGATGAAGTATGGACAAATGAAAGAGAAATGAGGAAGGCAAAAGCAATTTAGCTGAGAAAGAGAAATAAAGAACTGTGAAGCGGGTTCCAAGTTTGCTATTTTACTGTGCTTGTTCGTTGTTCAAGAAAGAAAGAGGAAAGCTGCTCATGATGCGTGTCATGGAAAGGAAAATGGGGAGCAGTCACGTGGGAGAGAGAAAAAAGAGTAGAAAAAAATGAGAAAAAAGATATGTATTTTAATAAAGTGCAGATTTTTGTCTCAATCACCTAAAAATATCAAACATTTAAAGTAGATGTGTATTTTAATAATTTTGATTGCTACAATTAAACATTTAAACTGTTGGGGAAAAAAAATCAAACATTTAAAAATATTTTTATAGTTTCTTATATTTTATTGAGTGGTTATTATTTATAAATGTTGTTATATTTTGTTATTGTCAATTAAATTATATTATTTTGATATGACCTGCCTGATTCCAGTTGGACTCTGATCTAACCCACTACCTCAACTATTTTAATGATTGGTCCGGTTTTTTAATCTTTGCCTTTATCAAGATATCAATTTATTTGTTGATTGAGATATTATTCCCTTACTATATTCATGGCAAATAATAAGAAAAATAAAATATAAATAAAATAAATGACTAAATGGGTTATTATGATATTTGTTACTTACCTCAAATATTATAATAAAGTTACACGAATAATGCAGAAATGACCTCTCCAGTAACTCTCAATTCAAATTAAGAGATGTCTAGTTGCACAAAAGTAACAAATAACAATTCATGGAATTGGTACAAATACATGATATATTAAATTTTTTTTAAAAAAATTTAAGTCTTAAAATTCATTATTGCAATTTTTTTTTTGGCCTGACATTATTGCAATTATTAAGGAACCAAAAGGAGGAAAAAATAAAGTTCACTGACCAAACTTTTTATGAAATGCAGAAAAAATAAATTCTTTCAAGAATAAATATTCAGTTAATATAAATTCATTATAATATGACAAAAGCGCCGAACAGATTTGATGTTTAATATTTTAACATTATAATATTTGATGAAATTAATTTAAAAGCCAATAAAAAATATAATTTGTTTGAAAATATTTCAGGAGCCAGTGAACAAAAAGGAAGGTGATCAAAAGATGGTATTTATTTTATTTTTGTTGTTATGTTTTGATATGATTAATCTATAAGGTCAAAATAATTAGACATAATTCTTCGATCTTGTCAAAATATGAAAGTTAAGAAACAACATTCTGCATGATTATACTGTCATTGTCACAGATTGAACACAAACAAATCCAATTAATATGAATTTACAGTCACAAAGTGAGAACATCTAACAGATTGTTTTTTATGTTTAATTTTCTAACATTCACAATTTTTTCCTGGTAAAAATTAATTAAAGAATTAACGGTTCTTCAAAGACAATATTTACCTGCAAGATGCCTTGATGAGTTCATGAAAGAAGGCAATGAATGACATAAGAATGTGAAAAAAGATAAGAAGGAAGTCTAAACTCTTTAAAGGAGAATAGATGACGATGATTTGTTCTTTACTTGACGTCTTTAATTATGGGGACACCCATTCTAAAGTTGAAGTAAGCCATATGTTCATTCCTTAATGATGACTTAAATCGGTTTTGATGCACACTGCTTTAGGTTTCTTTCGCGCCGTTCTTTCCTTGAAGATAAAGAAAATAAGTATTCCCTTCTTTCTTTGGGTCCCAAAGTAATTGTTATTTCAGTTTTAATATACCAAAGGGAATAAAATGACACACAAGGGAAGGCGGACACAAAATGACACACACACGCATGCACACAGAGAGTTTGGAGTATTTAATTTAAATAAATACATTGTGAGTATTTATCGCAATAGTGTTTCTACTTTTTTTCTGGCCAAAAAATAGAGATCCTAAAATTAAATGGGGAGACTGAGGGAACAATTTATTTTTTTTATGATTATCATTTCTATATGTTTTTAAGAAAAATTGAAAACCGAGTTATTTTGAATCTTTTCATTAGGCAGGGTACCATTTCAAAATGTAAAACATATGTGTGCGCGTGTCTATGTTAGATATTATTATAAAAGAATTTCTAAATATTTACTTAAGAAAAAAATATTCAAAAAAATTTAGTCAAGAACTTAAATTTTCAAGT